GTCTTTCTCTTCTTTTTCTTTTATTTCTCTTTTTTTTTCTTTGTGCCATGTCCCTTCAGCACGTCTCTCCACAAGTTCCTGTCCTTTGCAGCTCCTATTAGTAACAGTTGTCTTTCCGTTCTTCATTTTAATCCTTGTTCTGTCAATCATTTACACAAGAACCTCGTAAGATACGTAAATGCGCTGCTTTCTTTCCTCTGCCACCTCCCCCGCTTGCCTTCAATAAGTCCTCATTATATGTTCCAGAAACTTCAACTGTGTTTACTGATTTCTATTTTTTCTAAAACTTCGTCGTTGCTTCCTCCACAGTATTCGCGGTATCCTTCAGTAGAACCACATTTCTGTTGGAAAAACAGAAATACAGTCTCTTCTTTATTTGTGAGGAGATTGTCCAACATTAAATGCTATATAGGAGGACTGATATTACATAACAATTCACTACACTTTTTTTTAAAATTTTTAACGAGATAAAAATAAAAACGGTAAAAAAAGACCAGAAAATTAGAATTTTATTGTTATATTCAATAAAAGTTCACATAAAATGCCTAAATACGAATATAAAGTAAAGTAATAATGAACGCATTCAATTTCAATTTCAATAATTAAATTCAAATCCAGATTCAATGATTCGTCGCAGAATTAGCCTAACCAACACACATCACAAGGTTACATGCAAATTTTCATCTAGTATGCTCCCTACATTATGATCTGCTCGGGTTGGTTGGATTTGTCAAAAGTAAAATACCCGCTAGTATAGGTCTTTGGCTCGATGGGATACGCAAATCTCACCAGCAAATCAAAGCGAGAATCATTAACAGAGTTTTTTTTAAATATAAACAGCTTCACCCCAAGCAAAACAGTAAGACACATGGGGTTACTGGGTGGGAAAAAATTAGAAAAAAGGAATATTACTAAAGAGTGAGAACAAAAGAAGAGCAATCTGTAGGACAATAGATAGCGATTGACATTATATTTAAAATTTTGAAGATTAAAGTTGGCTGGAAGTCATGGAGCCGGGAGTGAATTCCACAAGCGAGAAGGAAACTGTTAGTATAGAACTTACGGTTACATCTAGCCAAATCAACTGTAAAGTGATGAGATCTCGACGCCAGTGTAGTACTGCACTTAAATTAAAAAACGTCTACCTACCATAGCGAAGAGCTCATCAGAACAATTAACATGTAAGTATTTATAGAAAATGGGGGCAACTGTACAGCGGGGACTGAAGCCAAAACGGCAGATCAGGACCAATATTATTGTTGATTCTTCGTTGGATTTTATCAAGGATGGTACGCAGATGACAGTGCTGATGGCTGACTCGGAAAGCAAACTACTGTACTTCCTAGACAGGGTGATAGGAGAAAGCTAGAAGAAAGGACTGACTATCGACAGAAAATATGGACATCAGCAAGAGAAAAATCCCAAGATAAAAGTTACGAATTGGAAATATAAACATCGAGCAGATGCAGAAGTTCAAATATCTGGGAAGAGTTTTACCAGAGGATGGAAACTGTGACTCCGCGATCCGAACACGCATTCGATTAGTGAAATAAGCATTCCAAAAACTAAAGAAACTAATGAGAAACGAACAAATTTCGTTAGAAACAAAGAAAAGAGTGCTGGATATCAATCCTCTCACATGGTACTGAATGCTGGACAGTCATGGAATAGCAAAATAAAAAAAAATACAGGGAGCAGAAATGTGGTTTTCTAGAAGGATGCTGAAAATTTTGTAGATGGAGCGTGTAAGCAACAAGGAAGTCTTAAAGTAAATGGCAACAGGAAGAACACATTCAGAATCAGGAAAAGATAGGTGAAATTCCTTGGACACATAATGAGGAAGGCGGTCTTGGGTAACTTAGCCCTCACGGGGCATAGAAATGTCAAGAGAGATAGTGGAAGGCAGCGAGCCACTTACCTGATGATCTTGTGTAAATGGATGGTGAAAGTAAGGGCGGGGACTTTAGCAAAAACAGGAAAAATTTAGTCTCAAACACCACATAACATATGTAGTATGTTCAATCTTGACAGCCTCTCCTATTACAGTGAATTGTGCCAAATTAAGATAGGTTGAATAAATATAATACTAGAGATTTGGAGTCTCTACTCCGGACAGGAGCTACACTTCAGCGCCTTTCATCTTCGTTGTCTGAGACGCATTCTGGGCATTATTTGTCCGACCGGGTGACCAACTCCGTAGTCCTCACCCGTACCCAGTTACGGCTCTGCTGGCTTGGACATGTATACCGTTTGCCGGGTGAGAGGATTCTGAAAGCCTTCTTTATGGGAAACTGGCCACTGGCAAGAGGACAACCTCACCTCCGCTTCAAGGACGCCTGCAAAATGGGGGGTATTAAGGCCATAGAAATGGGCATTGAGGGTGGGGGGAAGAAATTCCAAGAAAAACATTTTTAATGTTCTGAATCATTACATGATATTCATAGACTTGGAGCCTCTCCTTCAGACAGGATCAACGCCTCACCTTCTTTCATCTTCGTTGTCTGAGATCTCATCCGTGTCTAGTTACCCAGCCTATACGCCCTTCTCCAACAGCGCCGACTCTGCTGGCTTGGACATGTACACCGTATGCCGAATGGGAGGATTCCGAAGGTTCTTTTGTACGAGGAACTTGCCACCGGCAAGAGGGCACGAGGGCGACCTCATCTTCGCTTCAAGGGCGTCAATAAAAGAGACACGAGCATGATAGACATGGACATTGCGAGGTGTAAAGATGTCGCCAACGATTGCTAACGCTGGAGACGCGATTTACACCGAGAGCTGGAGCGAGAAGAAGAGAAACAAAGATTTGTTGCCGGTGAGAAGCGTGATCGACGGAAAGAAAACAACAAGGCGACATCGGGGGAGGGCGTCTTCATATGCATTCGTTGAAATCGCGACTTTCACTCCTCTGTGAGCCTGTACAGCCATAACAGAGTCTGAGCCGCCATCAGCAACTGCGGCATAACACATTGGGCACAGATCCAGGGTCTCTCGAGATCGACGGTTGCCAAATATACATATACTAATCTACCGGAATCTGAACAGATTAATATAACGAGTTCATTTATTTCTCAGCGCTACGTTATTATGTCCTTGTGCCAGACTAGTCTGATATTTATCATATCTGTGTAATCAAGACGTGAATATTGAGGAACGAAGCAAATGACGGCGACCAAAACACATTTTATCAGTTATTTTTTTGTTTTGTTTTCGTTTTTAACGCTCGCCTTTTTGTTGTATTCTTCGTCTTTTTACGTCACGTTCCGGCCATTGTGTCGAGCTTATAAACAAGCCACGATATAAAAAAAGAAAATAACAGAAAACTAGAGCAATAAACTAACTTACAGTTATCTGCAGTCACTAATGAAATGAAATCAGCGAGAGTGTGTAATTATTTTTCGGCAGATGGAATACGGAGTATCGTTGAAGCAGAGATATTTGCTGTAAACATAAGAATAATTACAATCTCGGCGCCACTGCTAATAAAGCCATTGTCTGAACCTCGGTTTACACTCATTATGATTAATCCAGTATTTGTTCCGAGAAAAAATCTCATGTATTTTGACTTTAGACAAAAAACAAATAAACAAACTATATAACATATTTTTACTGAATGTTGGCACACGTTTCGGGACTTCTATTCCCTTCATCAGCCAAAGATTTACATTGATTTAATTTTTAAATATTGGTACCGTGTTTCGGAACATTTGTTCTCTTCACCCGCCAAAGATTTACATTGATTTAATTTTTAATTTTTGGTACGTGTTTCGGGACTTCTATTCTCTTCATCAACCAAAGATTTACATTGATTTAATTTTTTTAAATATTGGTACCCTGTTTCGGGACTTTTGTTCTCTTCATCTGTCAAAGATTTACATTGATTTAATTTTTAATTTTTGGTACGTGTTTCGGAACTTCTATTCTCTTCATCAACCAAAGATTTACATTGATTTAATTTTTTAAATATTGGTACCCTGTTTCGGGACTTTTGTTCTCTTCATCTGTCAAAGATTTACATTGATTTAATTTTTAATTTTTGGTACGTGTTTCGGGACTTCTATTCTCTTCATCAGCTAAAGATTTACATTGATTTAATTTTTTAAATATTGGTACCCTGTTTCGGGACTTTTGTTCTCTTCATCTGTCAAAGATTTACATTGATTTAATTTTTAATTTTTGGTACGTGTTTCGGAACTTCTATTCTCTTCATCAACCAAAGATTTACATTGATTTAATTTTTTAAATATTGGTACCCTGTTTCAGGACTTTTTGTTCTCTTCATCTGTCAAAGATTTACATTGATTTAATTTTAATTTTTTGGTACGTGTTTCGGAACTTCTATTCTCTTCATCAACCAAAGATTTACATTGATTTAATTTTTTAAATATTGGTACCCTGTTTCGGGACTTTTGTTCTCTTCATCTGTCAAAGATTTACATTGATTTAATTTTTAATTTTTTTGGTACGTGTTTCGGGACTTCTATTCTCTTCATCAGCTAAAGATTTACATTGATTTAATTTTTAAATATTGGTACCCTGTTTCAGGGACTTTTGTTCTCTTCATCTGTCAAAGATTTACATTGATTTAATTTTTAATTTTTGGTACGTGTTTCGGAACTTCTATTCTCTTCATCAACCAAAGATTTACATTGATTTAATTTTTTAAATATTGGTACCCTGTTTCGGGACTTTTGTTCTCTTCATCTGTCAAAGATTTACATTGATTTAATTTTAATTTTTTTTGGTACGTGTTTCGGAACTTCTATTCTCTTCATCAACCAAAGATTTACATTGATTTAATTTTTAAATATTGGTACCCTGTTTCGGGACTTTTTGTTCTCTTCATCTGTCAAAGATTTACATTGATTTAATTTTTAATTTTTGGTACGTGTTTCGGAACTTCTATTCTCTTCATCAACCAAAGATTTACATTGATTTAATTTTTAAATATTGGTACCCTGTATCGGGACTTTTATTCTCTTCATCTGTCAAAGATTTAC